CTGGGTCCCTCAGTGAGTTCACGGAATACAGAAGAACAAATCCCAGCCCTGCAGCTCAGGGCTTGCGGGGAGCGGGCAAGAGAGATGCTCTGAGACCCGGGTGCAAAGGCTTTGGGGGCTGAGGCAGTTGCTGTGGCTTCTCTCTCCACGCTGCCTGCACCACCCCTCAAGCCTCGCCGCCTTAGGTCACAACTTGCCACCTTGGGTTAGGGCTCTCTGACCCGGTGGTGACCTCTGCCATCTGATCCTGCTCCGCAGTGTCTGGTGACACTGAGAAGGGTGAAGGGGGAGCTGCGTGTCCTCAGCAGAGGCCAGCCCACCCTCTCTGTCCGGGACTCCCCTCCTCTCCCCCGCAGGCTCCTCCAGCCCAGGCCCAGGAGCGGTTCCGCCTCTGTGCTCACTGAGGGGCGTCCCACAGCCACCCCCTCCCTACCCTGCTTCTTACCCCTGTCATCTTTCAGGTGCTTCCTCCAGACACCAACCCACACCCCTTAGGGTGCTGCCCTCTGCATGCCCCCCACCAATCTCAGGAAGCAGGCACCCCAGGCATTATTGTGCCCGCCTATCTTCTCCCAAGGCAGGGCTGTGAGCCTGTCCATGGCCGTTCTGCGCTGCAAACTACGACCAGAGGCGAAAGTGGCCCGCCGCTCATCTCTGTAGCCAAAGTTTCACTGGCCCACCAGCACACTCGCCCGCTCAGGCACTGACCAGGGCGGCTCTCCTGCTCTGCGGGCATAGCTCACTGGTTGTGACAAGAGACCATCTGGGCTGCAAAGCTGAAGATATTTGCTGTCTGGCCTTCTACAGAGAAGGTCTGCCCGCCTGCATACAGGCTTTAGCTCCTACCTCCACGGCTCCCTCTCTCTGTGCTCAAGTCCCTCCCCTGCAAAATGAAACTCGTCACCTATGAGATGGGGTCAGACGCAGCGGTTCAGGTCCTTGGCACCAGCCTGACCAGTGAGCCAGCCCTCCTCACGGGGACAGATGTGAGCACTGAGGTAGGTAGGCCTCTAACCAAGGTTCCCCTCCCCGGGGTGTGGGCTCGGGCCTGTGACTCTGAGGGGACATGACGTCACTCCTGCACTTAGGTTATGCAGCTGTTTAAGCCCCTGAACCAGCCGACTTTGAGCCAATCTAGAGGGAAACACCCTGGGTGAGCCTGACCGTATCAGGTGAGTCCTTCAGGGAGCAAACCCTTTCTCTGCTGTGTGTGTGCGTGTGTGTGATTTATTTATTTTTAGACGGAGTCTCGCTCTGTCTCCCAGACTGGAGTGCAGTGGCGCGATCTCAGCTCACTGCAACCTCTGCCTCCTGGGTTCAAGAGATTCTCCTGCCTCAGCCTCCTGAGTTGCTGGGATTACAGGTGTGCGCCACCACGCCCAGCTAATTTTTTTGTATTTTTCGTAGAGATGGGGTTTCACGAAACCCCATGTTAGTCAGGCTGGTCTCCATCTCCTGATCGTATGATCTGCCTGCCTCAGCCTCCCAAAGTGCTGGGGTTACAGGCCTGAGTCCCTGCGCCCCGCCAAGAGCTGCAGCATGCATCACCAGCCCACTGCCCATGCGAATGCTTCCTGCCCTCTGAGAGCTCGCCCTGTCTTCACTAGATTCCATGGAAGAGTCGCAGGCAGAGGCAAGCATCAGGTTAACATGCACGAAACTGCAAACGGTGACAGGTGCTACCAGGATCCTAGAACGATGGGGGGCCTGACCCCACGGTCAGGGAGGGCTTCCCAGAGCAAGCGCCTGCGGAACTTATGCTTTTGCCGCCCTTTGCAGTCATGAGCCTCGATGCCTTAATCAGAAGTATGGATTTGGATTTTACTCCAGAACAACGGGGAGCCTCAGAGGTTTTCAGCAGGGAGCAAGAAGCCTCCATTTCTTTCTCATTAGGTGCCTCTGGCCGCTGAGTGGAGACTGACCTTAGTAGCTGTGATTCCCAACCCGGGGGTCGGGGATGGGGGCGGTCCTATCCCCAGAGAACACTAACTAACGTCTGAGGCTATTTAGGTTGTCACAACGTGGTGGAGGCCAGGGATGCTGCTCAGCACCCTGCAGTGCCCCAGGACGGCCCCACTCCAGAGAATCTGGCCCCAAATGTGTCCACACTGCTGTGCGGGAGAGACCTTGACTTAGAGGGAGGAAGAGGAGAAGCCGGGAAATCTGTGGGGATCTGGGGCAGTCCTTGGACACACAGGACTGCTCTGGAGGCCAAGCCAGAAATCCCAATACCGGCTGCGCCACTGTGACTTTGGGTTACGTTTGTTTCCCGCTCCTTGCCCCAGTTTCCCCGCCTGCAAAATGGCCATACCAGTTCCTACCTCCCGGCGTAATTCGGAAGCCTGCACAAGGTAGTCGGCGTCAAGCGTGTAAAGAGGCGCCTCTGCGGCGGCTCACGCCTGTCATCCCAGCACTTTGGGAGGCCGAGACGGGCGAATCACTTGAGGTCAGAAGTTTGAGACCAGTCTGGCCAACATGGTGAAACCCCGTCTCTACTAGAAATACAAAAATTAGCCAGGAGTGGTGGCGCCTGTAGCCCCAGCCACGCAGGAGGCTGAGGCAGGAGAATCGCTTGAACCCGGGAGGCGGAGGTTGCAGTGAGCTGAGATCGCACCACTTGCACTCCAGACTGGGCGACGGAGCGGGACTGCGTCTCAAAATAAATACATAAATAAAAATAAATAAAAGAGGCGCCTTTGCATGCATCCTCATCACCTCTGTTGCTGAGTTTATTTTAAAATTTTAAAGCGGGGGTGCCGACGGCGGGAGCCTCCTCACCTTCGCGTCCTCCCTGGAACTTCACCCGGATCGTCTTGTCGATGTACTTGGACAAGTCCAAGATGCTCTCCTTTTTCTTCTTCTCCTTATCCTGCGGG